GGACCGGGGGGCCGGGGCGGCTGGGCCGCGGTGGGGAGCGGGTTTTAGGGCTGTAATACACGTTGCGAGGCGGCGCGGTAACGCCCCCACCCTCGGGCAGCTTCAGAGCCGGGCTCTCGGCCTGCTTTGCCTTTAAGCCGCACGGGCGATGACCGTGACCCTTCAGGCCCGCGATACACCGCCCCTGGGCCCTGCTCCGCCTCGGGGCACTATGTTAAGAGGAAAAAAAACAACGTTGGAACACTCCTGTAGTCGTCGTTATTGTTTATTCTTTTCCCCGCCTCGGTTCGAAACTAACAAATATTCGCCGTTCATCACCAAATGGCTCAAGCCAACTGTTTCCCGCAGCCGAATCAAATCCCACCCGTGCAACGCACCTATACGGTCTTTAGAAGAAACGCATGCATTGTAAGAACATTATCGGACAATGATATAGAACTGGATTTATGTTTACACGAGCCTTCCATTTCAACCCGGCTCTAGGTTTCCACACGAACAGGCAGTACATGAGACGATACTGGTAACGGTCACAACTCAGGATTTAAGGAAAAGCACAGATTTAGTTGGGAATTTATAATCCAAGGCGGCAAACCCCATACTTGAATCAAAACTTTTAATCTAAGGTTCAAACTGAAACAATTCTTGAGTTACCAGCTGTAATGTAAGTAAATAAATATTACCCCTGTAATTTTTTTCAAAGAAAGCGGTATAGTTGTTAGTTTTACTTTATTTACTAAGTGTGAACATTTTAAGATTAAGTAATAAATAGAGAAATAGTGCAAACCCTTGTTTTTAGCACAACTGTAACCTGTAGCCAAACAGCAGTTTGGAAGCGTGCTGCTGACTTTGCTACAATTGTATATTGGGTAAAATGGCAAATAAATAGCATTGTCTTAGGGGGGGAGGTTTTCACAGACAATATTGCTGCCTGCAAAAACTCAGACGCTCCATTCGCTGCTGCGAGGAGATGCTCTGCTTTCCCACAGCGGACTTGACAGTACTTACTCGGAGAGAGAACTCTCCTCTCTTCCCTATTTTATCAGGTCAAAAATAATCTGAACACCTCCCGTCATCAGCCAGTTTAGAACAGCATTTGTTGTCATGTGAAACTACACTGAGAACACCCAGAAGACAGTGAAACGGAACAGCTTGTCAGAAAACGACGAACTGTTGACAATCACCACTGGCAGCTTCTTCAGTGTCCGTAACAAAGACGGAACGTAGGGTTGGTATTTTGGAAGAAGAACCGTGGGTCGTTGCGACGGATGGCGCGCTGCCAGCCCCAGAGCTGAGGGGACGCAGGACTGGCACGTTCAGTCCCCGGCCGTGCCGCAGGGGCTGGGTGTGCAGTCCCGTTTCACGCAGCTTGTCAGGCCTTAAGCTTTGCCTCACGCTCCCTCTTTCTGGGCACTGGAATCTCAGAATTGAATTTAGGAGCGCCGGCATTTGCCTCTTCAAGAAGTCTTGGGAAACAACAACAAATTATGCTGGCGAGCGCAGGTGATGATGACATTCCTGCGTGGTAAGTCCCCATCAGGGCACTGAAGGGCAGAGCTGTGCTCCACCTCTCCTCCCGGAATCCTGCCACACCGACCCTTCCCACTCCGCCCTCTCCCCTGGGACCTGTTTCACTTCTCAATGATCCTGCTCAGGAATTTAAACCAGGACAAACCCTTTACCTACAAAAATCCAATTTCTGCCATTTCCTTGTTGTTAGAGACAACAGACACCTGACCTCCCAGGCCCGCGCAGGCCACAAAGCCCCTGCAGTAACTAAGGGATCTGTAGCAGTACCTGGTACCACCTGCCTTCTCCAGTTCCCATTTTCACAACAGACTCTCAAGGAAGAGGTTGGGTTGCTTCTTTCTTCTTGTCTTTTTATGTTCAAGATGTTTAAGTCTACAATAATGCTAATCTTTCAAAAGAAAAAAAAATACTTCACTTTAAAATAGGATTGGGAGAAAAAAAGTATCAAGACCAAAAGTTTACTGGTTCTTTTCAGCACCCAGCTCACCAGCTGGTATAGGGGTGACCTGTCTGACTTGTGTTACAAAATGACAACACAGATTAAAAAACCTAATCCATCATTGTTTCTCCAGTTTGAAAGAGGCGACAGACACTTAATTTAGGTCACATTTTATATATATTACTACTGATTTGGAGTTTATGTTTGATTTTGATGCAGGCAAGATCGTCTCACGTACTGATAAGCAAACCTGAACACATCTGTATTAATGACAAGTTTCACTGGCACCTTCAGAAATAGCAGAACAAAATTGCAAAGTAAAAGCCAACTCTAAAACCCCTACGAACTGAATTTCCCATATTCTGCACTTGAGAAGTTTTTCCTCAGAGTCAGAAAAGTTAAATACCCCTCTAGGGATGCGATTAAAGCAGGTGGCCCATCGTTGCAGCACAGACACCGAGCTGACGTGCCTCATACTGAGGTAACACAGTGGAGATGATCTGGCTAGGCCTGGAAGATGCACCCGCCCCCCACTACAGATCTCTGACCTGTTCTTACTCGTTCTGTGCTTATGCAGAAATTGGAAGACTTTTAGTTTGGGGAGTAAAAACAATGGGTTTTTGTTTAGCTTGGCTGATTCTGCTGTACTTGAAACAAGCTGTGAGAATGGTCTGCGGCCGGAGCGCAGGTCCCAGCTGGGGCAGACATCCAGCTCAGGGTGTCACTGGGAAGGGAGAGGGGAAGAGAGGGAGGAACAGGCTTCAGTGCCCAAGGAAGCACTGGGTCACACTGTCCTCTTCTGGACACCTTCTTCCCCCTCCTGTCATGGAGATGCTCTGTACACACCTGTCTGTCCCCTCCGCTCAGTCAAAAGCTGGTATCGATTTGCTTTTTTCCCCAAAACATACAGTAACAGCAGATCCACAACCCCCTCTGGAGTCTGGAACACCCGGCTCAGGATGCAATACTTCAAATATTGACAAGAAACACAGAACGGAAAAGAAAATCACGTACCTTTCACAGGTATTTTTAATAGTTTTCCTTTTTAATAGTGATGTACCATATACATCCAACAATGTCCAAGTGCCCTCTCTCTAGGCGTACAGCACGCTGGCTGTACGTCACTAAGGCACTCAGGAGGGGAGTCATTTTTGAGAAATGCAACGGGAACGTTTCCACCCCACAGCATCAGTAATAGATTCCTGCAGCAGCTCTACCACAGGACTCGGCTTGTTTGATTCGCCTGACAGCAAGTCGTACACCAGCAGCTCGCTGGGAATTTGGCAAGTTTATCACCACCGAATCGCTTTCAAAGGCACTGGTCATCTTTTCTTACCCCTAGCTGGGAACAGTCACATTTTTTACACTGATTTTGAAATGGAAAGTTTGAATTTTAGTGACATAGAGGAACCACGCTATCATTTCAGTCCCTCGAAATAACAACCGCTTTCTGAAGGCCTGCATGCCCTCTCCTTCGGGACCCTGTGTGCTAGCTGCTACACTGTCCAGTTTACATCGGCAGGACTCAAGGCCTGGAGTATTGTGCGTTATTCTTAAGTCCCACCTTACAGCAATTTTTTGTCAAGGAAGTACCTTGAATGTAAATCAAAATGCTTTGAAACAGCAGAAATAAATTAAACAAAAGCGATTTGTTTATAAAAATATTTTCTTATGAATCTTTAAAGCTTATAAAAGCCAGAAAATACATTTAAAAGAATCTCTGAAACATTTCATCCTTTGAGGTGTGGCTACAGTTCAGAAAGTGAGAAGAAACCAAGCCCAGAGACATTTTACGTCTCTCTTCCCACAAGGAACTCCACAGTACAATGGGCTCAAGCTACGAGTCAGAATGCCTCTGCCATCCCCCCCCGGGCCAGCTCCCCGCGTCAGATCCTTTCTGTTTGACAACAAAGGGCTGGAACCCAGCGGACAGCGCTGCTGCTTAGGCAGACGCGGCACGATCACCTTGTCCAGAGCTGCTGTGCGGACACGCAGGGGCTGGTGACACCGGCAACTCTGAGGCTGGAGCTCGGGGCTATGTATGGAGTACATAGGTGCCAGTTTTTAACCATCACTTTCTGAACTTACACTTTCATCTCGGGAGGGCAAGTGGTATCACATACAAACATACCACTGTCTCAGCCACCCATTTTGTCAGCGACGTGGCATTTAAAAAGACCTATATTCCTGCTCATTGCTTATGGGATATGTCTTTGTAATAAAACTAAAACGACCTTGCGAGTCCAGCCAATATTTAAACTGCATCAATTGGTCCTCTTGCACTTCCACGAAGACTGTCCTTCGTCCTGCAGCTTCTTAAATTTTGGCCCAAGCAGGAACCACCAGCCGAAGCCCAGAATGACACAGATGACGGACTCCACGTAGTAACCGTCCAAGGCAGTGACACAGGAACCACCAGCTTTTGTGCAGAGCTGAAACAGAGAAGCAGCAGTTGCTGCGTTACGTATTCTCTGGGAGATACAGAAACACGGACCTGTAGAAAGCAGGCATGAGGTATGCACTGTTTTTCACTTGCTCTTGGTCATGACTAAATATATATTTGCTTACTCTTCCTTGTTTCTTACGGAGAAAGGCTTTTGAGCTTACCATCAGCACGGAAAGGAACAAAACTGTTATAAAACATTTGGAAATGGAGCACGTCGGCCCAAGGGGCTAACTCTAGAAAACAGAGACAGCTGGCCAGTTTCACGCTGGCCTGGAGGTGCAATCACTGTTCTTAATCCCATGAAGGAAGATTTTGTTGTTGTTTTTTTTTTTTTTTTTCCCCTAACCTTCTTTAGAAATTACACCCTTGCATCCCGCCACACTGAATCTGCAAATGGACAGTACAAAATGCTGTGTATTCCTGGGAAAAACAAGCCCAGGATGTTTTTTAATTGCAGAACTGGAAGACAAAACCTCCAGCATTTAACGGATAAGCATTATAGCGCGTGAGCGCTCCTGCCATTGTTCAGCTTTCAATGCTGCTACGATTATCCCAAGATAATCCAGTCCTCTGCGGTGAGGTTCTGCCAGCATTTTCGATATTCTGAGACACATCAGGATCAGATTAGGAAAAAGAAGGGAGTGGTGCTGGAGGTGGAACTTTACCAACGGGGAGGGTGTGAAAAAAGATCAGAGGAGCGAGGTGAGGGAGGAAGGACTTCAGTGCAGTAGAGGCCCAGGGAACCTAATTAGCAGCAAGCCGATGAGACACACGCTGAAAAAGCACACGCTGCAGAAGCAGTTGCCCTGCTGCAACTAGTAAAAACTGCAGCTCCCGTTCAAAGAAGTCCCGTTTGACTCCTAGGACGCTTTATTTACAGACCCTCCACACCCCAAAGAGTCCTGGCGCTCCAGAGCGAAATAAAACTCAGTCACGAGTGCAGAAAAAAACAACCCAACAAAAAACCCCCCAAAACATTTCCACCCTTCTAAACAGTCACGTTAAAATTTCTCATTTGCTTATGCGGAGGTGAATTTGAAACCTTGCTTTCCGGGCAGTTTCGCGTCCTGCCGTCTGGTCTGTGCGTACAGTAGCACAGCGCGTTCTTTGTTCTCTTCCACAGGGCTCCCCAGAACTGGGAAGGCAGCCAGCCATCCCGCTCAGTCTCACGTGGAAAGCGAAGCTCAGAGAGCAAAGTAACACCACGGGAGAAGGTACCAAGGTATCCAGATAGGAAGCCTCCAGAAAGACAGAAGGAACAAAAACCTACCCCAAAACTTAAGGGACCTGGGGGACGGACGGCCTGCCCAGCACAGAGCGCCCAGCTGCTCTGAACTTGGCAAGGTTTTCTCTCGAGAATGTAACTTCAGCCTCCTTATACCACAGAGAACGGGGCACCAAGCTAGTGCTTCTACCACCAGCTCTTCCTCCCAGCCCTGAAAGGAACGGACAACTACTCTGCAACTGCCCATCTGTGGCAAGAGGCTCGTTACTGAGAGTGTGCGGACAGAAACAGACCCTGCTATCAGCCAGGAAAAGCAGCTCCACCAGTGGGCATCTTTAAGCACCAGCTAGGTACCACAAAGGTTTTCAAAGGCGAAAAAATACTAGGAGAAGCAATTTCATCAAGAAACAACCGAACAGAGACCTTCACAGCCCCTCAAACTTACTTCTGCTGCAGCTGTAGTCCCACAGGCCTGTTCCCGGGCCCCTGCACACTCTTCCACCGTGAGTGGGTCCACAAGCCAGAGCGCGACGGTGGAAGGCCAGTTCCCTCCCAGATTCGAGACGGTATTTAGGAGGGTCATGTAGGTTCCTCCGATCAGCGGATCGCTGACTTTGGCGTTGAAAGCCATGATTGCAACATACATGCTATACAGCGTGATCTAGGCAGAGGGGAGAAACGCACGGGACAGTCAGGGCTCCCCAGTCACAGACAATGCCACCGAGAAGCCCTAACGTAAAAGCTGTTCCAAGAGGTTACTGGCAGTTCGCAACATTGACTGAAAAATAATCCCAACAGCTTAAAATTACACAAGAGAGAAAGTACTTCTGCAGTCTGTGTCTCTGCTAGTTCCAAGAAGCAGCCTTGCCACTTGTCTCAAGCCACGCTGAAACGGACCCAGCCTCACACGCACCAAACAACTCCGGTTATCAAACCGAAGTATAATAAGGCCAGCTAAAATAGCATCTCCAGTAACACTTCTGCATTTAAAATCAACCCTCAAGGCACTGCACACATTTCAGTTCTGACCCAAAGCCCAGTTTGGATCAGGTGTTTGTTTTCCAGGCCTTTGGATCAGATCCATTATGACGTTCCTCCAAAATCAATGAAGTTAATTCTTCTAGGACCAGGACCACATAACTTTATGGATCTGCACAATAAGCACCATGTCCTGGTTTCGCCTGGGATAGAGTTAATTTTCTTCCTAGAGGCTGTACAGTGCTGTGTTCTGGACTCAGTGTGGGAATAACGTTGGTAACACACCGGTGTCCCAGTTGTGCCACGCAGCGCTCGCCCTACGCGAAGGATTGTTCAGTTTCCCATGCTCTGCCAGCAAGCAGGTGCACAAGGAGCCGGCAGGGAGCGTGGCCAGGACAGCTGACCCCAACTAGCCAGAGGGATACTCCACACCGCAGAACGTCATGCCCAGTCCATAAGCTGGGGGGAGCTGGCCGGGAGGGGAGGATCGCTGCTCAGCCGTCGGTGAGCGGGTGGTGAGCAGCCGCAGCGTGCATCACTTGTCTGGTCTTGGGTTTTAGTTCTCTCGCTCTTTTGTGCCATATTCCTTTTCATTATAATTATTATTATTACTATCATATTGTTTTATTATTATTATATTATATTTTACTTTAGTTATTAAACCATTCTTATCTCAACCCACAAGTTTTCCTTTTTTTTCGTTTTTCGATTCTCCTCCCCATCCCACTGGGAGGGGGGGAGGAGTGAGCAAGCAGCTGCATGGCGCTTAGTTGTTGGCTGGCGTTAAACCACAACACACCATCATCATCATCACGTCTGTGGGACTCAGAATGCTGGGATTTCTCCAGCTCCCCCATGCTTTTGAGCTTCTGGGTTTGGGGCTAAAAAAAAAAAAAAAAAAAAAAGCAGATGTGTTCAACTGAAAGTAACTCCACAGACGATGTCCGGTGGAGGGCGTGAAAGAGGGAGAAATAACATTGGCCAGTGTCAAACGTAAAGGTCAGACCTGGAGGAATTCTAGTGTAACTCGGGGCAAAAGCAGGTAACGGCACGCACAGTCCTCTCGCTGACTGACATCAAACGCCCTCCTGCCCCCACCCCTCTCCCTTCCCCCACACAGTGCACGTTACCTGGTGCAAAGCGTAACTCAACAATACCACAGCATAGTAGTAAGCAGGAAATCCTCCTTCGTATTTTACTTTAGGAGTCCACCATACCAAAAAAGCAAATTCCAGACCAAGCAGTAATCTGGAGGAACAAGAAAGATAACTCATAACTTGAGTAATTCTTCCCATGAGTTGCCTTGATACGGAGCAACTATCGAACATTTATACATACAGAATACATGGAAATAGTTTCTATCTAAATAGTTACAACTATTCCTACATTAGATAGAATTAGATATTTGACAAGCACTGAAATTGTAAACTTTTTATACTTAAACAATTCTGTCTTCCCTATAAACATAGTTCCCTGCCAGATCTCCTACACCAGCTTTCTTCCCTGCCCCTTCCCACACAAGTTGATTTTTGTAGAAAGCCACGCACAAGATATCCAACCAAATTCAGCCAGAGCAAGACCTACGCTCTTCCCTCTCTCCCTTTTTTTTTTCTTGGCAAAAACATACACAGTTGCCTACGAACATGTTAAAGCACCGGCTACCTGCTACAGCCACGTTACGTGACTTACTGAGCGACAGCGTCAGGTAATTCGCTGGATTCATGGCTTTTAAAATTCCATAAGCAAACTCCTCTGTAAAACACCTAACGCAGAAGTGAAACGTCTCCCGGTCTGCATCGGCCTCCCTCAGCGTCCTCTCCTCTCGGCTGCCCCAGCGAAGCACGGCCAGCAGACGCCCTGGACGACTTGTTGGTGCCTTCCGCCACCGGGACGCGCGCAGGCAGCGCTACGGACCCGGTCCCGGGTCTGGCCAGAGCGACTCACGAGCAGGGGGCTACCGACACTGAACGGAGGCGGGGGAGCGCTGCCCTATATGCCTCTCGAAACCACCCCAGGCTTTGCCTTCTCACGGGTGGTACTAAACAAACCACCTCCAAGGCACCAGCCCGAGAGTCCGAGTTACGACGAGAATCCTGACACACCTTCTCGTGTCTGGAAGTCAGGGGGTGACACAAGACATCCTACGCTTGACTGCAGTCCGGAAATCACTGCGTTTCTCTAAACCGAGGTTTGGTTGGGTTTACCTGAAAGGCATGGCTTTGTAGAAGGTGTTCAGTGGCTGGGGGCCTGCTGTGTATTTGCTGATAATCAGGGGCAGTATTATCTGCAGAGGGACCATTGGAACAGCGAGCAGAGCTAAGTGCTCTTTCGGGACTCCCTCTTCCACCAGTTTGAGTCCTGTTACAGCGTCGGCTGCTGAAAACCCAACCTGCAACATAAGGCAGAGAAAATAAGCTGAGGAAAGCAGGGATAGCTCGGCTGGAAACCCAGTTCACTCAGTATTAAGGAAATGGAGAAATATGGTAGAATGCCAGTCACTTGTGTCTCTGCTTTGATTTCCCAGTAAGTTCTGAGACACCTCCTACTCTTACTGTCACCAGTGCCAAAGTCACACCAAGAACATCAAACGCAGCAATGACATCCATGCCTGTGCCCAAACTGCTCTTGGGATGCACGATGGCCCACAAGCAGCCACGGAAACCCACACGTGTCCGGAGCTGCAGATCCTGGGAATAGTATTTAGGTTAAAAGAAACATTTTCCGTCCTTTTAACTGCAGGCTACGCGCACAGCCTAACTGTTTAAAAACGTTTAAAACCAAATTAGTTTAATGCTAGACTGCAATCAAACTTCTCTTTAATGCTCGTGCAAGCACAGAAGCTCTAACAAATGTCTTCCTCTGTACAACCCTGCTTAGCATGAGGGCATCAGCAATTCTGTTTCAAGTTTCATGTGAAAATTCAGAGCTCTGCTGACAGCCACTAGCAAACCCAAGAAATCAGTTACATCACAGGGACTCCACAACCTTTCAGGCTCCGATGTCATCAGCACCTAACAATTCACACACGTATTTACTCACTTTTGCTGTGAGAATCAAGACACAGAACGTAAGAACTGCCGGCATCTTGATTATCGAGAACAGCAGCCTGTATGTGTCAGTGATGCCTTTTGTTTCTTCTTTTGTTGGTGTTAGCTCCTTGTTTTCCTTCTTCAAAAGGGCAACCAGTGTCGTGGTAATTAAAAAGACAGCTCCCCAGAAAAACAGGAAATCTGGAGGGGAAAATAAAATAAAACAAAACAAAAAAATCTTTCCAGCAGCCATCATCAACATGTCATTAACAATTCACTGAGTACCTAAAATGCAGTTATTTTGCAAAAATATCAACCTAGTAATAAAAAACTGAATAAAAACGTTACCCATTGACCCTCCTACAAACAAGCAACGAAAGCAAACCACAAACACAGCTACAAACAGCAGCTGACATGGCTCTTCCCGGCCCCTCGCTCTACAGCCACGTGTTTGCTGAGATCTGAGACAGACGAGCAGCAGCAAACCGGGTCACTTCCCCGGTGTTCTGGGTATTACCACCACAATGGGCATCTTGGAGGAGAAACAGAAGCAAAAATGAAAATTTTGAAGGATTACGCATATACGGAGGAAAAACCACATCCAATAAGTACAAGATGGGGAAAAAAAACTTCAGGGGAAGAAGTCATTCCCAGCTCTCCACTTGATTTACTGTGTAGTCACGTAACTGCTCTGTGCCTCACTCTATCACATCTATCTACCATCTGAAGGAAACAAAGATTTATACTTACGAGCGTAAAGATGGCCTGGTGGAAGTTCTTACGCAGTCGTAAAGAGTCACCCAAATATGGCTGTTTTAAGTGATGGGACACTGGCTAACTTTTACGTGCTCTGTTTTAAGCAGATACAAGTTTTGCCATATTGTGGATTTGAAGGCGGCAATAGTAAAAACGCACCAATATTTTATGGCGAGTACTTTTTGAGTTAGTGAATGGATTAATCTAAAATAATCCTATCCTCTACCTTTATGAAAGAGGCAAGAAAGAACTCAGTAACATGCAGAGGGTAAGACAGAAGTAGCCTTTTATCTTCCTGGTCACGAGCAACTCCAGAAGCCTCATGGTGACTTGAAAGCAAGCAGCGAGGGCTGGTGAAAGGGCAAAGACAGTGCAAAGGTTTAGTCAATTATTAGCTGCTTCTTATGCACAGGAAGGGAACAAGCACAACACGCATGGAAGAAAACACAGAAGGACTACTTTAGGCATGGCCTGCCATCAGGGAAACAGAAAAAAAGGCGTTTCAAACCATTTTCTACTGCTTCCACACCAGCTACTTTTCCCTTTTCTAAGGTAGAGACCACCTCATAACCAATGCTGTCAGATTGCTCTTTCCTCTGTCAAAAAAAGGTACCCTGAACATATATTTTTAAGAGGAATTTTCAGAGTCACGTTAATCACGGCTACTGTCTACAACAGACACAGAGGAGCGGCGCTCTAGTAACAGCACCAAGCATTATCACTGCAGGGCGAGACCCGCAGTGCGAGGACGGGAACATAAATCCCTTGGAGCATCATCGCAGGGACGCGCCTGAGCAGCTCAGCCCTCCAGCTGCAGCGCAGCAGTGCCACGGCCGGGTCGGCAACGAAACGATACAAAACAGAGGGGAAAAAAAAAAAAAAAAGCCCTATATAACAGTCCAGATTGAAAAAAAATGGTTTTGTGGTTGTAGGCAGAGTACACAAAAATACAGTACGCTTCCTTTCAAAGGCAGCAAAGTCCACTGACAGGCAACAAGCAAAAGAACTACAGTTTACACAAGGAATTTCTAGCACAGAGTTGCTGGTGCCACCACTGCTGCCTCCCCCATCCCTGTTTCGCCTCTGCACCGCTATGACCAAACCAAACCACCGTGTTGTGGCAAAGCAAACTTTTGAACTAGGCCAGGGCCGGACCAGGCTGGAGAACAACCCCCAACAAGGTGTGCGGGGAGTACAGGTGCTTCCTCACAACAGCTCCGCGTCACTCTCCAGCTCCACCTCTCCTCCCCGGAACAAGGGCGCTCCGCAGTCCCTGCCCCAGGTAAGCCTGGGCGCCCTCAAGAGGCACCTTCTCCCTACGCTGGCACTTCACCTCCCTTCGGTTACGCTGGAAGAGCCCTTCGTGTGCCCGCGTGGCAAACCGGGCAGGGATCCACAAGCCCAGCCACCGAGCTTCCCCCCAGCCCTCCTCCCTCAAAGGCGCTTGAGCAGCAAAGCGCTGACCTCGCGGACACGCCAGCACGAACCATCGGCCCAACGAAAGGGATTTCTCATGTTCTTCCCTAGAACCTCAGCCCGAAGCGACCCAACACGGTTTTGATCGACGGTTTGACGTTGCTTCGTGTCGTCTCCCGCAGTTAACGGGAACGACTAATGCTGTCGCTTCTCGCCAGCTCGGGGCTGACTTGGGATCACGAAGCGTTGACTTGTTCTTGCCCAAGCGCGGGCACTGGGCCCACGCCAAAGGCGGTCAGAGCTGAACTGGCACAAAACCACTCACTTTTCAAGCGGTAAAGCTTGCTGCTGCTTTAACTGCCCAACCCGGCTCAGCACCAGCCCCATTACCACCACTGCTGGGACCAGAGGGCCGCTCTCCTCGTTTCAGCTGGTTTTCGGTCCTGCTGCCCTGCAGCTGCTTCAGGAGAAACGTGGACACAGCAACGGTGGCACGGCCACACGAACAAGGGAACAGACATTTCTTGCAGCCAGTTATACCACCCAAAAAAGCAGATCCTGCAACCCTAGTGTCAGAGTTATTTGCTTTTCTTACTCCACCCAGGTTAGTACTCCAGGTCAAGTTAAACAGATTGCTTTGGTGTCTTCTGATTTGGAGATAATTTTTTTTTCCGCCCAAAGACAACGCTCTTGTGATAGCAGCAAATCCACCGATACAAACAGTACCGAGAAAAACACAAAATAGCAAAAACCCTGGACAGCGGAGGGAAGCATAGACAAACCAAGCTCTCTTAACCACACCTGTGCTTTGCAAGTTGCATCAGCAGTAACAGACGTCAGTCTGCCGCTGCAGCAAGAGGGAAGAGACATGCCAGCACTGGCAAACCACCCAGGAAGGGAAAACAACGGAAAACAATAAGCCAGCAGGGTTACTTTGAGAACTAGGCCATGCTTGTTGCCATATTGACCAGCCCTAGGGTTATCAACAGGCAGGGAAGAGGAAGACTAGTTAGGGATTGTAATAGCTGCATAGACAAAGTATGTACAGCGGTCTTGGAAACTGATAATCCTGATTTAGCAAGAAGGTAGGTACAGGACAGAAAGAAAAACTATCCTAAAGGCAACAATTCAACTCCATTTTGGCATACCTTTTCTCTTACATGATATAGGCAGAGGGAGAAGAAACTAAACCCATGAGAATCTACTCTTCCTTGCTGGCCACGGTCACTTTGAGACCGCAACCAGAAGTGGTGCCAGTTTTTCCTGCCCTCCCATAAGCTGAGCTAGACTCAACCTTTGAACCAAAACATGCACATTTTAAGCATGTTCTAGGCAATGCACCTAACATCAACCACCACATACAACCTTTCTGAAAAAAAAACCCAAATAACCCAAAAACCACCAAACAGAAGACATCCCTACGATAACAGCTAGTTATGGCTGGATTGCCAGACTCTATTTAATTCATTAAAAGGAAACAATATCCTCCTTAATCTACTGAAATAGGCCTTCCTTCAGAAATTGGCTACGTGGTCATCCCTGAACACATGTCGCTTCTGCTTCTGTGAACAATGCCATCTTGGAAGAGTCAATTTTTTTTTTTTCATTCCCCCTTTCCTTCCTCCCAGAAGGAGATGTTCTTAAAAGGCCTAGTTAAAAAGAGGCAAAGCCTTTGGTTTGTTTGCTTTTTTTAAACAATAATCATGGTCATTAAACTGGGGGAGGGGCAGGGAAATGCTCTCCAAAGTGCAGAGGCCAGCCAAGATAATGACAAGGCAGGTTTCCCACACTCTTAAGCCCAGAGAAGCCGGGAAGTTCAGTGCATGCAGCAGTGGACTCTGTCAGCCTCCCTCCAGGCAGGCCATGCTTTCTCATGGGCTGGGGACAAACCAAACCTGCTTGGCCCGCAGTGCCAAACACTCTGAACGGAGCTTTGGTCCGGGCTCAGGGAAGAAGCATCCTCATCCCCATCCCAGCAGCAGCACGCACAAGCCAGTGGTACCCAGGTAGTACCTGAGAGGGTAACAATCCCCTGGGGCTGGGGCTGGAACCGCAGGTACTTGTTGCAGAAGGAGGCCGACTCGAGGGCTAGGAAGAGGACGTTGCCCAGGAAGTAGCCGGCCGTCTGGCCCACGGAGTTGCAGGTAGAGGCGTAGCCCACGTTCTCCCTGGACAACATGGTGAGGGCCCAGCGAGGGCCCAGCCGTCCACCGCAATGTCCTGCGTCGCCGCCAAGAACTCGAAGAGGAAGAAAGTCACGGTGAGGGCCACCACGTCGGGGCCCCGGCCCTTCCTGTCGCCCAGCAGCACGTCCACCTGGGTGGACATGTAGATCATGAAGAGCCCCAGAACGTACTGCGTGGGCCGCCCCAGCGGGGACTTGCGGCGCCGGAAGCCCCGCAGGTAGACGGCGTCCACCAAGGGGGCCCAGAGCAGCTTGAGGCTGAAGGGCCAGAAGACGAAGCTGAAGAAGGCCTGGTCGGTGTAGCTGACGCTCTTGCTCTGCAGGATGAGGGGGACGCTGCCCGCCAGGCCCAGCGGGATGCCCTGCAGCACGTACAGCACCAGCAGCAGCAGGATGCTGCCCAGCT